GTTTTCCCCGTGGGTGAACCAGAAGTTTTAGCTTGAATGGGAGACCACTAGGAAATCCAGCTTGGATTCGAATTGGAGAATCCAGACCCTATTGCGGTGGGGGGGGGGTCCATGGGCGCGCAAGTAGGGAGAGAAGGGAGAAAAGGGGGGGATCAAAATGCAGGTTAGAGCCAAGCAATGTCCAAACTTCGATTCACCCAGGATGAATGGAGTCAAATCAACCACCTACCACAGCTACAGTTTCTAGCCTTGCTCAGTGCCTTGCTCAGTGGGACTGTAGGCTAACCTGTGTTCCTGTCTGCTTTCTCTTTCAGTCTCCTCGAAAGTAAGCTTCCTTGAAACTCAAGGGCGATTTCGTTCCCACCCGCTGTCCTTGGAAAGGAGAGCAAGCCGATTCGCACATTACAGCTCTACAGGGATCTGTAGTTTTGGGCTTCAGGCGCACCGCCCCCAAAGAATGAAACTTGCTTCCTCCCCGCCATCCCTCAAATGGGAAAATCGGGGGATGCTCCCAGGCCTTCGATTCGGTCTTGATACTGGACAGAAGTCGGTTACCGTTGGGTGAAAGTGGTTGGCCCCAGTGAGGAACGAAGACAAGGTAAGTGGCATCTGGGATTAATTTTTGTTTCCCCTATATAGATATTTTTTCTCCTGAGTTCTTTTTTTGGGGGGGGGGGGGTTTACATCTCTTGCCCTGAAATAATCCCCGTCCTTCAAACTTGCGCGCACTTTGGTTTCTTTCACGCGACTTCTTTAAACCAGGTCACTTTGTTTGTCCCTCAGCATTAATCGTGGCTAAATTTCTGGTTAGGACAAAAAGGCTGCTTGGTTAGGTTTGGTAGGTTAGCCAGGAATCCAGGGCAGTAGCATTTCGTGGGAACGCAACTACTGGGTTCAGGAAGGTATTCCATTTAACGCCGGTTGAAATAGAAAAGAGATCCCGGGGAAGTCTGTTTCAAACCGGAGCGACTCTTGTCCGAATCTACTTTCTCCACGTAATCTCCTTGCCTCAGCGTTTTGTTTTGTTTTATTCTATTTATGCCCATCCCGTTCAAGAATGGGGGGTCCTTTCCAGAGTCGCTCCTTAGCGACTCCAGACGGGAGGCAGATTGCCAGAATGGAGAAATGGAACCTAACCTGGTTTAGCCATCCGCGGGGGTTGAGCTCCTTTATTAAACTAGATCAGAGGTGGGCAATTCATTTCCCCAAGAGGCGAGAAACTGGGACTGTGGCGGAGAGCCAAGCCAAGAGGACTGTGAAATGGGTTTCATATTCACGCATCTACATTGTTTTTTGTTTTTTTTTAAAGTCATTTTCCAAATAAAACCAAAATAAAAATCCATGCGAGCCAAGGCAAGACAGCCAAAAGGTTGGATGTGGCCCAGGGGTCGTAAAATATCTGGACTAGATAAACTGGCAACAAGGCCTAATGGCAATTTTTCTGGACTCCAGCGCAAATGATTGGTTCAGTTCCTAGGCACTTTTCAGTTTTTCCGAATCATTCAATTCTTGGTCAGGAATTCTCTTCTGGCGGGTAAGAGCGAGGGATAAGCTGGAGAAAGAAAACTCTGTTTCGGGGGAAACTGAATTTGGTTAGATAAAGAGAGATCTTGGATTTTACTTTCGGCTGAACCACTTTTTTTTCCGCCCAATCCACTCAGCTTTCAGGGTCTTGAAATGTTGGTTTTTAGTTCCGAGCTCAAAATTTAAAGCACTTTATTATAAGTGGTGGCTGATTTTTCTTCCCTGGCAGACTGCAGAAATCGCATTTTTACTGGCAGAGGGGAAAAAAACACTCAGATAGAGATCTCTAAACTGGGAAAGAAAGAAAGAGGAATATCAAAGGAAAGTTATCCAAGTTTGGCAGATTTCTGGATACCCTGCAATGCAAGTGGGGAGCGACAAGGAGGTTGGGGGGGGGGGGAGTATCCAAGGAGAGGGGCCCCTGCGCGTTTATGTGGTCTGCTTTGATAGGCAAATAATGTCTATAACTGAGATATTTTTCCTTCCTCTGGCGTTTTGCACTTCGCATTTTGGGAAAACGAAAATGTCTACGTCTCTGTTCCAAAACATAATTAAAAATGTAAGGAACCAAGCTTAAGGAACCATAACAACGGGGAGGGGTGGTGGTGATTTTATTCCATCTTTTATAAGTTATTTTATAAGGGTTTTTTTTTCTCCTATCCCATCATTTTTATTTTGTAAGTAACTCAAGGCCAGGAAACACATACAGTACTCTTTCCTCATCCTATTTCCCCCACAACAATCCCCGTGAGAAGAGCTGGGCTGAGAAGTTAAATGCTGATCATTCCCTTCCCATTGCACCTTGATATTCTTGTGAAAGTTAATAAATCTTCTGCTTTGGAAACGAAACAAAAGATGTACTCAGAAGCTGTCAGAGTTAACAACTGTAGGGAACGCTCCGTAACACAGTTTATAGACTCAGTGTAAGATTGTAAATAACTTTTATCTTGAACCCAGCATTTAATCTACAGCAGCCAAGCAGGCTCAAAGCCTGCTTCTTTCCACCAATTCCCAATGGGTCTACTCGAAGGTGGGGCTGAATTTGGATCCAGCCTCATCCTGGCGGGCGGCACAAACTAGGACCTTGTCATTTCTTAATCCTCCCCCAGCTCGCCCCGCCCAAAAGAGAGAGCCAACAATTGAAATGTCTTGTCTCGTTGAGAATTAAAAGAGACGAAATATCTAAGATTCCACCGGCAGTTTAGACAACTTTGTTTTTTTCGGGATGGAAATAAAACTAAACGCCAAGCCGAGCTAACGTTGCGGGAAAGGGGGATCCCACTCCTGTTTTTGAGGCCTGCCTCTACCTGCAGTTCAGAAGCGGAGCGCACTCGCGTTCACAAACCAGGCCCAGAAGGAGAAAGAAAAGAGTGCAATCCTATAGGCGTCTCTATTTAAAAAAAAAAATGGGGGGGGGGTGTATCATTCGCCAAACCCCGGTCCAAAGCGGCTTGCGTTTTTACGCGCGCCAGGGAGCGAGATTGGAATTGAAAAAGTTCGGGGCAATCGCGTCCGGATAGGCCTTCTTTTTCTCCCCCCCAGCCCCACTCAAAATTTCAGGCACCCATTCTTATCTCGCCCCGCCCCACCGCCACCGAAGAAGGGTACACGCCGAAGCGGGGGTGGGGGGACACGCAGAGAACTTGGCACGAGACTGCGGGCGAGGTGTCTGCAAGCGAGAGGGGTGGGCGCTTGTGCGCGGAGGGGTTTGTCGCTTTTTGGATGGCCGGGAAGCCTGGACCGCTCGTTCCAGGGGTTGAAAATCAGAGGTGGTGATCCGCCAGGCGGGTTTAACACTTTTTTTTGGGGGGGGGGGAGATTTAAGACGACCCCCCCACACACACATCCAAATCCTGGGCGCAGAATTTGGTTTGGCGTTTTTGGGAAAGGCTGAAGTCGCCCGAATCGGAGCGTGGCCGTGGTTGGGGCATCTGCGCGCGTTTCTAAGGGTTCCCCCCCTTCGCCAGGTGCCAAGCCACACACCCTCCCTTCTGTCCCCCACTCCCCTCACCACGCAAGAGGCTTGCTGGAGGGCAGGGGGAAGAGAAGGGACTAGTTACCGCTCCACCACCAACCAGGTTTTCCTGACTCCGGATCCCGGATGGAGGGACCTCCAGTCCGGCTGCCCATTTGGTAACACTCCAGATGCTTTCTCGCCGCCGGTTCCCCCAACCCAGCAGAGAACCCTCCCCGTCCCCCATTTGTTCCCCTTCCCAAACATAACCTTCAGGTAGCGGGCGGCGTCCAGGTAGAAGGAAGGGCGCATATCCCCTAGAAGGGAAGGGAAGCAAAGGCGCTTACCTGCCGGGCGAGGTGAGCCGGCTGTTCCTTGTGAATTTAGGCGGCTTACTTGAGCGCGGGGTCTCTTTGACAGGAGAAGGGAGGGGGGCAGGGATCCCCGCAGCCTTTTTCTTCCTCCCTTCCTTCTCTGCATCCCCCCACCTCCCCGCCCTGTTCAGAGGACTGGAGCTGGATAGTCCCTAAGTACCCCTCCCTTTTGCAAGTCTTCCACCTTTTCTTACCCAAGTATTCATTTTAAACAGCCCAACTGTAAAGTCTCTTTCTCTCTTTCTTCAAGCTTTCCTCCCCACCATTTCTCTGCTTCCGACTCCCTCCCTTTCTACTCGCAGCGAAAACTCTTCTTTTTCCGTCTCCGGACGGCTTACCTGCCGAAATTCTCCCCGTTCTCTACCTGACTGACGGCTCCTTTTGTCACGGCCGACTGCCCCTCGAGGGAGGGGGCTTGCCTCGTCTCTGCCCCCCCTTTCTCTCCTCCCTGCTTTATTTCTCGATCCCTGTCGCTCCGTTTTTCTTGCCTTCCTCGGTTCACTTTTTAGGGGGCTGCCCCCCTTTTGGGGGGGGGAGCGTAAGCGGACGCACTATTTGACAGGCGAGGGACCGCCTCACTGCGGCGTAGGGATATTAGGCACACCGATTGGGAGTTCAAATGTCAGCAAGTTTTTTTTTTCCTTTCCCCTCCTCCTCTTCTTCTCTCTCGGTCTCTCTCACTCTCACTCTCTTCCCCACCCCCGCCTTTTTGGGAAAAGGAGGGGAGGCGGAGGGGAGGGGAGGTGGTGGCGGCGGCGGGGCGGATGTATTCCTCCGCAGCAGCTTTCCGCCGCTTGTAAACTGAGCGCCTCCCGGCTCGGGAGTTTTGGATGGCATTTGGGCCGAGGAGAGCTCCAGAGGAGACAGCTTTTGCGCTCGCAGGTGCATGCCGTGCCGGGCGTCTCCCTGCTTCGGGGAGGGCCTGGCCGCCCCCTCCACCCCGAGAGGGGCCCCGGAGGCGCCTTTCAGCCAGCAGGTGACCTGCCCGGCCGCCCCGCCGATGGACGGCCGGCTCCTTCGGCCTCTAGGCTGCGCTCAGCTCGCCTTTGCCCTCGGCGCCGTCCCGCTGCTCCGCGGCCCGGATCCCAGCCGGGGCGGCCACTAAACCGACGCTGCTTTCCCCCCTTCCGTAGCCCGCCTTCCGCCCCATGGACGTAGCCGCGGGACCGGAGGCGCTGGAAAACTGCTTGACTCGCGGCTCGGTCAATTGCGCCAAGATGCTGGACGGGATTAAAATGGAGGATCGACCGCTGCGCTCTGGGCCCGCGACTTTGGGAGTCCTGCTGGGTGAGTTTGGCTCTTCCTCGCTTCCTCTTTGCTCGCCTCCCAACTTTTCCCGTAAGTTTTCTCCCCCCCCCCCCCAGATGTACATGTATAAAACTCGCCTTCCTTGACCCCGATCCTGGCGCGGTGGAGCAGCCGCGCGCCCCCTCCTCCTTTCCCCTCCGGTTTCCAGCGCCCGACCAATTGCGGCTAGAGATACTCGGCAACTTGTGGAGGGAGAGAGGCAAGTTATCCCGGCCGAGAATCCACCCGTAAAGGGCAGAGCAGGCTGGTAGGAACCACTTTCACGCCACTTGCGCGCCCGGCCTTGATTTACACCCCGGACTGAGTGATACACAAGTGTGTGTGTGTGTGTGTGTTCCCCTTCCCGTGTTTATCCAAAACTCCAACCGGAGCCCTTGCAATTTATTTTATCCCTTTGCCAGTTTCCAATCCATTACGGGTCCACCCCCGCCCTTCAAACCTCCCTCGTTTTGGAGGGGGGTACGCGCCCCCCTCTTTAAAACCAGCTGCTTTAAGAAACTGGCGCTTGATCGCCAGGCTGCGTTTCGCGCGGTCCAACTTCTGAACCTGAATCGCTGCGCTTTACCTTCCTTGGCGAGGCCGATAAAAGAAAAGAAAGAAAGAAAACAAAAATAGGCCGCTGGTCTCGCTTTCCTCCCGGGCTGCTTTGCACGTCAGAAGGGGCACCCGCGTTGACGCTCCCCGGATTCCAAGAGAGTTCGGTTGTTTGGCACGCTTGTTAAACTCTGGCTAAAACGACCCACAGGAGCGACGCCTGCCAGGCGGGCCGAAGCGCTCAGCTCCGGCGTATCCCGAAGGGGAGCCCCTGAATTGGAAGGGACGGTGTGTTGGTGTGGTTGTCTCTGGGTGTTGCGCGCCTCCCCGCTACTTCTCGCGGCGAACGGATTTAATGTTGAACTTCTTGTTCTCTGACGAAGCGGAGAAAATCCGACCCACCGCTTCCCTTTCGCCTCTCTTCCGGAAGGCCAGATGCGCTCGGGTTTGGTTTTTTTTTTCTCCCCTCCCTCCCTCCCTCTTTGCAAACCTCACAACTAAGAACCCTGCTTCTTCCCGTTTCAACCGGGCCTCAATCCCCACGGCAACTCCGCTCTTTCCTCCCCCCACTTCCCAATTGCTCCCATCCCCGTGTGGATCCGAAGCCGGCCGAGTTTAAATCTCCCAGCTGCTGTCAGCGAACACAGTTGCTCTTTAAGACAACTTTCCCTGAAAATTCTGCGCCTTTTCCAGCCAGTAACAACCGCGTGCCAAATTCCGAGAAAACTTCTTCCAAAAAGGAGATTTGTAGGCTGTCAATCCAGCCAACTCCCTCGGCTCTTCTGATTTACAAAGGCAGGCTTTCTCTCTGCCTCACACTCCTGCTGCACTGCCACCTTTCCACCTGGAGTTGGCATTAGTAGAGGGTTCATCATCATGCAGTTAATAAGCCCTGATATTAGGCCACCATTTGTCCTAATGATGTACTGAATTGTTTGGTTTTTTTTAAAAAAAAAAATATTAAATTTATTCGCTATTGAATTAGAGGAAGGTGAACCATTTAGTCCAGGGCTGAATGGCGTGGAGGGGGACTCTGTGTTTTTAACTTGGTGAGCATTGAGACAAACTTCTTGGTGTGTTTATATAGTGCAATTATTATTTTGTTCTCCTTGGCCTGTATCTTCTTAGGTTTTTTTTTGTTTTTGAGCCAGGCCGAATGAGATAATAATAATGATGACAACTGTCCGCTACAGTAGTGCTATTGCTTGTATAAAATATAAGGATGATGGTAACTACTGTGGTGCAATCAATGTGTTTGGGGGATGATTCCAAGTGACGGGAGATCAGGGACAGAAGGAGCTAAAGATGGATGACTTTTGCCTTGGCCAGAATTCCAGGTGTGTTTTCTTGGAAGTGAGCCTTGGCTGCTTCCTTCTGAGTAAACCAGCAATGGCAGGAGAGGCATTAATCATCCAGAACAGGAGTTGCAAATATTTGGGAACCTCACCCCTGTCTCCCTTAACCTGGCTTCTCTTTTCCTGGCGGAGAAGGAAGCCTTAAGATAACAAAATATAAAAAATATAAAAATAAAAAATAAAAATAAATTGGTCCCTCCAGGCCTTTCAAAGCCAGCGTTTGGCCCCTGGGTGAACCAATCCTTAAAACAGCCCTGTGGATTTGTGCTTTTTCGGAGGTGTGTGTGTGTGTGTGTGTGATTCTGCCTTGTCTTGCTTTCTCTCTTTTTTTCACACATATTTCCCCCCCCCACTCCCTCCCTCTTCCTCTCTTCACTTGCTTCCCTTCCCGCTTCAGGGTCCGATTGCCAACACCAGTCGGTTTGTGAGGGGTGCCAGCGTCCCATCTCCGACCGTTTCCTGATGCGCGTCAATGAATCCTCGTGGCACGAAGAGTGCTTGCAATGCGCCGTCTGCCAACAGGCGCTAACCACTAGCTGCTACTTCCGAGACCGGAAGCTTTACTGCAAGCAAGACTACCAACAGTAAGACCTTTACCCTTATTGTTATTATTGCTGTTGTTATTGTTGTTATTGTTATTAACCTTTCCTTTTTAGCCACTGGAATTCTTCACCGCTGCTTTCCCTGGTTTGATCTCATTTACAACTGCATCCGGGTAGTAGTGGGAGAGGCATAAAGCAGTGAAGTCGAAAATTTAAGAGGATTCCCAAGAGAATAAGCCCAACTTTTCTGATCAAAGGGCCATAGCTCCACCCCTTTGCTTTAAAACCCATTGTTGTGACATCCAGCGAAATGTTCCATTGTTTCTTGAAAGGGACTCCATTCTCTTAAATCTTTCTCCCCATCCCTGCCTTGAAGGGGTTTCCCTCCGATCTCTCTTTCCTTTATCCTCCCTTCTTCTTAGAGCTACTCTGCAGGCTTGTTGTGTGCAATTCAAAAAAGAAAAAGAAAAAAAGGCTACACAGTGTATTTGGGGAGGTTGGACCCGCGAAAATGGGTTGACTTCACCACAAGTGGATTTAGGGTGGGGGCAGATGGCTCACTCTACGTCTCATTTATTAAGCTTATTCCCAAGCTTGTGAAGTTATGCTTTGAGTGAGTAAAGGCCGGGTGTCTTCGTCCTTTCCTTGTGGGGGTCTCCGATCCAACTTGGATCGTTTTTTGTGTTGCATTTTTGGAAGATTTGGGCCACTTCCTACTCAAATCGTCCCTGAGCTGCTTGCCTTCCCCTCGGCTTATTTGTGTGTGTGTGTGTGTTTTTCCCAAGAGATGTCATTGTCATTTTTTTTTATTTCAAGGAAACAATTTATAGCCTTCCCCTTCCCTACCTTTTCCTTTCTGTTTTCTCTTTCTGAAACCTCCTCTTCTCAATTTTCTTTTAGGTGGGCATGTCTTAAAATCGATCTCTCCTTCCTTCCGTGAAGCGATTCAAATCTCTGAAGGAGGGAAGTGGTTTAGAAATAGGGAAAATAAATAAATAAAAATATTCCCTTTTTTAAAAAGATATTTTATTGTTGAAAGCAAGATGTGTATTTATAGACACAGTCCATCTGTGAGGAATTTTATAACTGCAGTTGAAACCCCTATCCAAATATTGTTATGGCCCTTCTATTATTATTATTTTTTAAATAGGTGACACTGCAAAGGAAGGGTCTTTATTTTTTTTCCCCCAGCCTGTTTTTAGGTTGGTATTTTGATCCTAAACTGTCTGGGGAGAAACCAGCAAAAGCCTTCCTCTCGAAGGTGCCATTAATCATCATCATTTTAACTCGCATGCAAATGCATTTGGAAGGGAAAAGAGGCGTTGCATATTCCCAAGGAAAGTTGTGCAATAGAAGAAAGGTTTCAAGGATATATTTTTTAAAAAATTTAAATTTAAAAAATCCTTTCTGAATATAGTGCTGCAAAGAAAAAAAAATAGAGCACGGGGTGTCTAAAGGAAGAGTTTCATTATTATTTTTTAGGAATGGGTGGGTGGGAAGACGGCCTTCTCCAAAATAAATGCAAACTGCTTATAACTAAAGTTATTGGAGCTGGATTTTCCCCCCAACCTCCAAACTAAAAAGATTGGCAGTCAAGATAGAAGGGGGGGGGGGCATAGATTCTTTGGAATCCATCTCCCCAAGATCGATGGGCAAATAAAACCGAAAACCGCCTCTCCCCCCTCCCCCGTCTTTAAATCACGCATCCCTGTTTCATTGTGGTGTTCGCGGGTAAGTTAGATTTATATTTTTAAAAAGGTTCTTTCGTTTTCCATCTTCCTGGTGTGTTGAAACGGCGCCTCTTTTTCCTGCCAACCTAATCTGGACTCAGCCTGGCAAGGATTAAAGACCACCCCCCCTTTTTTTTTTAAACGAACGAGATCGCGGAAGGCGCGTCCCTTAATTCGGATTCGGCGAGGGTTCGAAGCTGGCTTTCCAGACCGATCCGGTTTTCGCGACTTTCGGGAATTCATTTCGATACTCCAAAACTCTTTGGAGTAAGACTACTCCAAAGGGGTAGTAGGTGGGGTGGGACAGTCTCTCCCCCACCCCACCACCACCACCCTCGGGTAAAACTGGCGACGTGTTTACGGGGCTGGAAGGAACCCTGGGTTTGTCCAGGCAACGTTTGCAAGAAAACAAACCCAGCTCAGAGAGCGAGGAGGATCCCCACACACAAACGCACAAACGCACGCAAAATTCCGGCTTTGCAACCCCCGCCGCTTCGGCCGGAGGGGCTGCTCGGCCCGGCCGTCGGTTTCTGGCTGCCCGGTGAGCGCGTCGGGATTGGAGAGGCGACGCGGTGGCTTCTTCGCTCGCTCGCTCGAGGGGAAGATAAAAGTCGGCGCTTCCCAGCCAAGTGAAGCCGCCCCTTCACCGGACCTGTGGGATTTTTTTTTTATGGGGAGGGGAAAGAAGGAGCTGGCCTATGTGTTCCCGCTGAAGAAATCCCCCCCCCC